GGGTGATAAGAACTGTTTCATCTTGAAGGCATTTCCTTTGGTTTTTCGGCTATAGTATTTGTGTTCTGTTTCCTACAGCCATCTTTTTCCTCACCTTAGATATTGTTGGTACTTTTCTTCGTTTATTTACAATTTTTTGTTGTTGCTGATATCTGTTGTGGGTTACATAGGTAGGTAGATAGGCTACCTTATTTCTTCGTTGACGGTTGTACATAAATATCAACTAGAGTTTTCCTTTGTTGGCCGCTCTCTCACACTCTCTTTTTTTTGGCTCTCGTTTGTATGTATGTATGTAACACCAAATGTACGACTTTATGTTTAGTCAACATCAAATGTGGCCAATAACACACGTAGCAACATACCTTCGTATGTACATACATACCTAGTCAGCCTGCCAGCCATCCAGCCCGCTAGTTCGCTTGCTGTACCTACCAGATCGTACAATTTGACTTGGCGCCATCGTTTAAGATGCGGCTTTCTATGATCTGCTGATAAGCGTGATCATAGTTAGCTGAGCGACGATATCTTAGTACAACAATCGCTTGTTTTAGACAACACCATCACCATTAACCAGCAGGCTATTGTCGTCTATTTTTCTGTCCTATCCCTCGCTTAATTTTTTCGACTACTGTGTACTACAGGTTGTTTTGCGGTTGATCATCTTGATTTCTATCCCGATAATGGTGGCTACTTTTCGACTCACATGTGGTATTCTTCGAACGGTACATTTGAAGATGCTCAGTAGTGACCAGCTCATATTTCACCTGTGTCGAAAATAATTTATGAATATTTTAATTATGAAATTGTTCGAGGTATTACCGAGGATGCGACATCTGTCGCATCTATTAAGAAAATTATCTAAATAAAGGGATATTATTGAACTACGTGGCGGGTCTATATATAAAACGAAGGGGTTATTATTGAACTACATGGGAGGGATTCAACCGAACACTTGGCAGCTCTCAATATTATCAATATTCTTAGAGAAATATTTTATAAACTTAATGTTGATACCCTACACCATATGTTGGAGTATAGGTATATTCAATTTGTCATTCCATTTGCAACACAACATCGGAAGATATATTCCTCAACAGAATATAATTTTTTTTCGATTTAGTCATTTTCGTCTAAAGATGTTAACAAATGCCATTGGGCTTCAACGTTTTGAAAATGTCGAAAATTGTTGGCTATTTCGGGACATATACCTGTAACAGCTAAAACTATTTGCCCATGTCATTATCAGAACTATGTACTACATACGTACTTCGTTATGAAACCTAAAATGTTTAGCAGAGAATGGCCTTTCATTTGATGTATGACCCGTGCAAATAGATTTTGTCAAGAGATACTGGTCGCTGGTCGCCAAAACACCAATTAACCAAAAATTAATATTTCAAAATATTTAGGCCCAGTATAATAGATTGCGGGCTTTAAAAAAATTGTTCTTATATACAGTATTCAGAACAAATTCGATGTCCAGAATTTGTTCCACGCCTTGTGTGGGTCCTTGAAAAATTATTCTTTAAACATCCACGATTTGTGTAGATTGTGCAAAAAATAATTCTTTTAACCCTTTCAGTGTTTTTACTGTCTTTCTTTGCGATTTTTCGGTTATCCTATGTTTTTGTTTTTGCTGAAAGACAGACAAAACTGTCCGAGGGTTAAAATAAAATTAGCTTTTTGTTCTAAACTCTGTGCCTTTAAATGATTTTAAATACAAAATTTTATATTTTTATTCCGACAAAATTTTTTGTTGATGTTTAGAATTTAGAATTTGTTGCAGTTATATGTACCAAAAATCATTGATGTGCAACGAACAGAAATTTATTTAAAAAACCAGTAATGGGTATATTTAAGAGATGCATCTGGACAAAATTTTGTTCCAATCGCCCTAATTTTGACTCTCTGGTGCACCATTTACTAAAAATCGAACGGTATTATATATGGGAGCTATGTCAAAATCTGATCCGATTTCAATAAAACTTGACACACATTAGGCTATCCTATCTTCAGTACGTTGTGCCAAGTGTTGTGCTAATCGGCCTAAATTTGACTCTTTGGTGCAGTACTTATATAAAATCGGACAACAATATATATGGGAGCTAAATCTAAATGTGAACCGATTTTCTTTCTTGAGCCAAATAAATCATTTGTGCCAAATTTTATTTCATTCTGATAAAAAATGCGACCTGCACTTTGTTCACAATTTAGCATGGACAGACAGACGGACATGCATAAATCGACTTAGAAAGTGGTTCTATGCTTATTCTCAAAAGGATTAACAAACTTAAGTACAAAGTCATAATACCCGGCTTTTGGTAGGAAAATTTGCTATCCAATGAGAAACCAAGATACAAAATCTCCATCTAATTGGTCGAAAAATTAACTCCTCAAAATACCGAATATTGGGGTTAATGTTATATGGGGGCTACACTAATAAGAGGACAAATATTGATCATTTTTTGTTGGGATTTGCTACCCATTGAGATGTCAAATACTAAATTACCGACAATTCGGCTGAAAAACGTGACCAAAAAATATAAACACATATATATTATATATACATATATATATATTGAATATTGAGCTTAGCCCGACTGCCTGTAAAGATATGGATATAGGATGAAAATAGATGTTATAGCTTAGCCAGAAGTGATTTTTTGCAAAGCTATGGATTTTGATTACATCTTGCTCCGTAGCAAAAAGGAGCATTTGACATCTCATAGTACATGTTATGTTATGTCGATCGTTTCCAACTCTTCCTCATCCTACAGTAAGCGCCAATAATCCACACCATTGACAACCCTGTTGGAGGTGTGAGACCTGATCCCTTAGCTAAGTTTGATTTATTTCTTTCCTTGTGATGAAAAACGTGGTAGTTACTCATCGTGAAAATTCCGGCCAGAGGTTCTGTACCGATGTTCCTCAAACTATTAAATATCGAAACAGTTCTTGCGAAATTTGCCAATTGGTGGCCTAATCTGCAGACTGTTGAATAATAATGTTGAAATTCTCGAAATCAAAGTAGGTCATATATAGTCAATAACGTAGCTATTATTATTTGGATTTTAGAAAACAAATTCATTAAACTTTATATTCTTCTTCGTTATGTCTAGTCTCGCTTCTTCTTATCTACATACATGTTCTGCGTCATTAGAACAACGATATACAAACATTCCGGCTGGGCTTGCTGGCTTGCTTCGTATCAACACTTGTTCGATATATTGTATTTAGCATTTATATCGAAATAATTTGGAAAATACATATGCGAATTTGGTAATACCAATGCAGAGGACAGTAAGAGTGTCTAAAATAAAGAAATTATTGCAAGCAAAACTAGTCACAATCGAATGATTGGAAAGTTGGCAGGTTTTGGCAAGAGAAGCAGTAAACAGTCGGCAAAATAGCAAACACCAAGTAAGGAGAGAGGCTGAGAACAATACCAAAATAAAACACAGCCAAACAATGACTGGTGGCTTTGGAGTTTTTTTTTTTCTTGGGAGGAGTACATTATTTATTATTATTTATTTATTGTATTTTATTTTATTTTATTTTTTTTTTTCAAAAGAAAAACATAATAATTATAAAAGAGAAGGAAAATCAAGGTAAATAGTGGTAAAGTAGAGCGAAGTAGGAAAATAGTTGTGTTAGTAATGAAATGTTTACATTTTTTCTTGGAGAAAATATTGATTATCAGAAATGTTACTTCTATTCAAAGCGAGGTACATGTGCAATATTAAAAAAATTGACTATAAATAAAATTATGAAAATATTCATTAACAATATTTTTTTCTGCGTTTCTGTTTCATTGAGCTTCCACTTTGTTTGTAGGAGATGCCAATCGGCGCACATTATTTTGCTTTGACAAGAGTGTTCGTTCAACAAATGCCTGCCACCAAAAAAGACACCCATTGATTATTTTAGAAACCTATGAAAATCTTGTGTACGATTTTCGGTTTTAATCCCCACCAAAAGTGCTGTTAAAACTCTCGTAGTGCGTTCCTCTAATTTATGGTGATTATTACGAAATATTTGGCTTCTAATGAAAGTTTCAAAGCCACATTGGCTTCTTATTAATGCTCCAAAGTCATTCCGTTTTAGATGTTTATTGGGATTATAAGTTTTTTACTTCCCATTTCAGTCTTCATAAGTTACAACCCATGTGTTATTAGACGACTCTTAATTTGTGGTCGAAGACTGTTCCGATGCATTTGACTTCTAATGACTGTTCTAAAATCGTCCTAATCAAAATTGTTAGAATAATTATAGAAATTTATACATTTCTCGGTGAATAATACCAAGACCATAGACATAGGTGCAATTTAACAAAGCATATTTCATAATATCGGATATGGTTAGTAAAAATGTCCAACTTATCAGCAAACTACATCATCGGTTGAACTTCATCAGGTTTATATTTATCATCTGGAGCCACTAGAGTGAAGATAATGCGGGAGATCAGTTTGGGTAAAATCGGTTACACTGTTCGTGAGTCAGACCGACAAACCGAAGGACGGACATTTGTAAATCGACTCCAAATTGTGTGAAACGGATTTGGTTTGGAAAAAAGGTTAACATTTAGTAAATATCTGTTATATCGCGTTTCTTTTCTCACCCATCTATGCAACGATAATGTTGCAGATTTTTAGCAAATTTTTACAACAATAATTTTAAATAAAAATCCATTTAATAATTTATTTTGTATTTTTAAATTGGGTTTATTTTGTTTTTAATAAAAATTTTATAATAAAAAAAATAAATTAATTAATTTTGTTTTTCTTAAAGCTATAATACACTCACTAATACAAAGGTCTAATAAAAAACATGCTATTTCATGTAATTTGTTGAGAGATATTAACTTAACTACTAACATGCTCAGCATATAATTAATAATTACGTAAAATCGAAAGAATCTCTAACTTAGCACTTAAAACTATTTATGCGAAAGGCAAGGTGGAGGGGATATAGCTGAGTGTCCCACATTGAAATCCCACAATTTAAACAGTCACCACATTTCGTGTATTACTTCCCAAGATGGAAGAAATACTGAAACTTGAACGTTTTGTTGGCATATCACAGGATAACAACGAATCGGAGGAATTCGAGCGTTTGGGGCCACATGGCGATGCTACGGAAGCTGGTGTTTGTGGCAGCGATTGACTCGATTTACTAACAGGTGATGCTGAGGGTGTTGTATTGTGTTGTGTCTGATAATCCTCTGATGAGGTGCTGACAACATCCACAAACAGCTCATTGGCTTGTTCCGCCACGCTGGAGCTTTCTTCGTTGTCCGACTGGCCGGAATTCTGATGTTGATAATGGAAGGGCAGACGTTGTTGCATTGCCATGGCATCCATATATGAGGCAGCATGATTCATGTACATGGATGATGATGGTGGTACAACGACCGACGGCATTTGTGGGAAAAATGCCGGCGCAAATTCGTTCATTAAAGCCGAGGCAGCCGATTGCTGTTGCATGGCATAGCGCATGGCCCCATTCAAATCCATATAGGGTAGGGGTTCTTCACGACTGCAGAAACGTTTGTTCTGAGATGGTGGGGAATCCTGGCTGCTGGCAATGCTCGATTGATCATCATCGGTTTGTGACGAACTGTTGGCATTCTGATCGTCGGACAAGGCTGGCGACAGAGACATTTTCCTTTTGCACTTGGATTGACCGGTTTCACGGAAACCCTTGGCAAAGGGATTGTTGTCAATCTTCAGCTTGGTGATGCGATCATTTTGATAGGCTGTGACGGCCACAAATTCGGTTTCGGGAAATACAAAGGCCTGTTGTGGAGCCCAGGGGATTTGTGACAAGTCATTGGTGCGTATGACATGGATACGTGGTTGATATTTGTGCATGCTGGCCAAGACAACGTGGCCATTGTTATCCAAAGTGTTGTTGGTCAGCTTCACTTTATTGAAGAGAATTGGTTGGGCTTGCCAGTGGGAACCGGTGGCTGGACTGTCGGGATGCAGATACATTCTTTGGGGTGATTGAGGTTCAGCACCACCGGCTGGTACCCATTGGGAACCAGAGAATTTGTAACGGCAATCTCCCACTGGAACCATTTCGATGAGAACACAATATTGAGATTCTTCTTCGAGGCCTTTAAGGGAGACACGCATAGAGGGGAACATACGTCTGTAAAAATACAAAGAAAAGAAAATAATTTATTAGATTTTTGTTGTTATTGTTGTTGTCTATTTTGATGATGATCATCGTTGCTATCATTATCTATTGACATGGTGGATATCACAGTCACACCCCAATGAGCCATGTTTGTTTATTTTTAGTTAGATTACGTTTTGATTTTCAAGTCTAAGGTGGGTGAGTACTCGTTCAACAGAACCCCCCTCAACCCAGCACTGTTTGTTTGTCAATTTTATCTCTTGGTGGCTTTTGCCTTAAAACGACAACGACTCATGGGAATAATGACTGATAACATTGACATCACACCTGTTTGGCTATTTCTCTTCATATACCCTACATTGGGTGATATGCGATCGAATACATACCTTCCAGTCTTGGTGATAATCATTTCTGTGCCGATCTTGTGGAATTGTTGCCATAAATCTTTGTTCTCCAATTTAGCCTCGACGCCGGGTAGTGGGGGATGGGCCGGCATCAACATGTGGGGTGGCAAATGCATGGAGGGCATCATGGCAGCGGCAAATGGATCGGGTATCCGTTGCATTATTTGTTGGCGATAAATAATCTCTTGGGCAATTTGTTGTTGCATTCTTAAATCCACCAATTCGTTCATGGTAATCATTTTGTTGTTTTTATTTAAAAAGGGTGTTCCAAAAAAACGAACGATTTAATTGTGCGAGAAATTATTTAAAGAAAAATTCTTATTTTTGTGTTTTTGCTTTACTCCGCTTTGAGTTGTTACTTCTTCGACGTTCACTCTCAAACTGATTTAACAACACAACTCCGTTTGCTTAGCTCTCTGGCAAACAAATCCCACAAATCTCTTAAGAACACACAAGCACACGAACTCTCTGAGATTTGCCTCTCTGCGTTATGATCAACATGGGAGAGTGTTCAAGAGACGGTACATTATGTGTGTGCGTGCGTTTGTGGTGTGGGTAGCCACACTTGTTGTTAAACATGTTCTACCTGTTGTGTTATGATCTCCCTTGAGTGTTTTCTCTCTCTCGCACACACATATATTAAGTGACAATGTGATTGGTTTCTTTCTTAAACACAGAGCATGCTTTCTCTTTCTCGCCCAATCAATGGTGACGACAAAATAAAAAGGCCTGAGTCTGGTTCTCCATTTTTGTTTTGTCGCAACTTAAAAAAATCATGTCTCACTTATTGTTGTTGTTGCCACTGCTGTTGTTCTTTGTTCGTACCACAAGAAGAAAACCCATACTGGGCCAGACCACTTCAACTGCGACAGTCATTCATTCATGCATTCGTCCATTGAATAACTGTCCATACTAAGTAAGTGATATATTAATAATCACTTATTGTTTCCCATCGTCCTGGGGTTTTCTCAATTGTTTGCCATTCAAAATTGTCGCGTAACTAATTTGTTTTCCAAACGAAAAACAAAACAAACAGAGCGAAAGGATTTTGCTACTTGAAAATTAAAAAGTAATTCAAAAATGCTTTTCGAAAATGTCACCAACCGGAAATGGCTCAGCAACATAGATGATTATCATAAGTAGGGCCTGGGTGATTTATTTCCAATCTCTCTCTGTTTCTACGTCTTTGCAGCAATTGCAATAATTGATCCTCCCTGCCAAGTATTTTTTGTAAGATATTACGAAAAAAGAAATACGAAATATCAAATCCAAATCAATTTACAGGATACTTATACTTATGCACATACATACGTACAATATTTAAGTAGGGTACTTTGTGAATGCTCTTTTTTAAGATTTCCAATAAATAAATCGCAGGATTTTTGTAATTTAATATCCATTTCCGTTTTTCCATTGCATTATCCTTATTGTGGCAATTGACTTTGTTCGTTAAAACCAAACCACTATAAGCCTAATTGCCTATGTCAAGGCCATGTTATCCTTACTTAGGAAAATGAACATTCTGTTTGTTAAAATTTAATTACCATTTGTTAAAACAAATGATTACCAAAAACACTTGGAATAATTTTAAAAATGTTTCCTTAAACTAAAGTAAAACAATTAGATTTTTTTGAAGTCCTTAGAATAGGATTTTTTAAAAGGGATTTTTTAGTCTTAAGAAAAATAGATTTGTTTACTTCAGTTCTGTTCCAATATTAAAATACTGAATGAAAACATAATTTTTGGTAATAATATCCCTTTACAAAGATACATATGCGGAAAATAAGGCCCTACAGTCAACCCTGGGCCACATTTCCAAAAAAAAAATAATAATAATTAAAATAACATTATGTTTACACATCTTTTATGATGCAATCAAATTATTTCTGCACCGTTCGTATGCAGTAGCCTGTGTAAAATTTTAAATATTTTGTCCATTCATTACATCGTATTTTAAAACTTTCACCATTCCGATTGAATTTGTTTCAATAAATTTTATTTAGGTTCATCTGTTTCGAATTTTTTTACTCTCGAATGCAATAAAAATGTTTTGAATTAATTTGTATTAAAGTTGAGTAAATTGACAATTAGGTAAAATAGAGCTTTTTTGCCAATAATCGGCACTTTTTTCTATTATTTTCTTTAATAAAATATTATTATCGGACGTTTCCATGGGTTATGTATTGAAAAAGTTATATAAAATAATGTTATTTATTAAAATATTACAATTATAAGACATGGTGCTGACTTTGGGAACCCGTTATCCAATTCTCGGCATGGCTAAATTACGCATATCAGAGGTTAAAAGAATATAAGATTAAAATCATGTCTTCTATTATGAAAAACCATTAGCACCGGATTTTTTTATAAATTAATCGGTATTCAGAGCCAAAATGATCGAAATGCTGATTATTATTCACCAATAAATATCTTGACTATAGGAAAACCTTAAAATGTTTGTTCCTAAGGATGGTATCGATATAAATATCATAATTAAAAATATTTTTGTAGAAATGTTAAATTCTAAAGTATTCTCTTGTATGTTCTTTACGATTACGAAAAATGTCGTTGTGAAAAATATATAATTTTAAAATAGTTAAAAGTATTTTAAAATCGACATGCCCACTAATATTTTATTAAGAAATATGAATTATTGCTAGTGTTGAAAAACCTAATTCACAATATGCAACATTTTGGCTGAATAAATGTACTCAGCTCGATGAAATGTCACATAGAGATAGGTTTATTGAAGATTATTCAAGTTATTTTCCATGTCGACTATTGGTACATGCCGGCATTAGGAGCACTTAGCAAACTACTTTAACAAAAACGTTGACGGGCTTTTGTCAGAAAACTATGTAGCTCAAATTTTTTTAGATTTCTTATGAAAAATTCAATAGAAATTTATTTTGTTGTGCTCAAATGTGGTCGTAATCCCTTAAACCCAACGATACGATTTCATGTCATTTAATTTCTAAATTAAACGTTTTTGCTGAAAAATAAACAATAACCAAGAATTATTAGATACGAAACTATACCGTCCGCCATAAGCTGTATCATATATTTGTCCTTCCGTTTGCAATACCTCGACATATTCATCGGAGACCATAAAAAAAATTCTCGACCAGAGTAAAAATGTACAGTATGTCAAGAATCAGTTTACACATTAAATAAATAACAATTTTCTTTAAATAAATGTTTCTTTAATAAATTTATATTTTTATAATTGTTTACATATACACAGCGATAGAAATATAACAACAAATACCTGATTTTACATTGTCAATTAATTCTTTTTATGTAATGTTAAGTTTATGATGTAAATATTAAGTTTATAGAATAATTATAAATATAAATTTTCATAGTTTTAAAATTAGGCTGGGGAAAAAGGAGTCCATTACTTTTATATGAACTATAGGACTTTATTTAACATGCTTCGAAACACGACACCTCTTTTGGTCAATTGCTACCTTTAAACGGTCCAGTTGTTGACAGTAGAGATCAGAATTTAGCATTTGGCCATATGGAAGCAACTCCAGTCCCACCAAATGCATAGCAGAACCTTCCTGGCCGTTAGTACGGGTTTGGCCACCGTTTGAGGTGCTTCAACGCTCTTTGACCACGATCGTTTTCGCACAGGGTTATCCATTTCTCATCTCCAGTCACCATCCGTTTAAGAAATGGGTATAACTCATTCCGTTCGGCGAAGGCTTCGCAGATGAAAATCAGATTCATCCTATTTTTTCTGTTAATCGTGCTTCTTTTTGAATCCAGCTTTCTGTAAATGGTTTAAAACTGTTTTATAGAGTTTTTTTTAGCTCCTAAGCGATATTACGACTGATAACATTCCGGTCAACTTCGACCATTTCTCTTTCCCCAGCCTAATATATTCTATGGCCGTCCTTGATGTAGACGTTTTTTTCATCGAGTGCACCAAGTCATATTTGTTCGGAATGTAGTGCCATTCAACCAATATTGCAGTTTTTATTGTTTTTATATTTTTGGTTGCCTTTTAGACACATTTTTTTAAACAGAGGGTTAAGGTCGGCGTAACCAAAGGTTTGGACTGGCGTAACCAAAACTTTGCAACAGTTATAAAGAAACTACATCCGCACTACATGTGACTTCTGCTTAGGATCCTTATCCTGATAAAATATAAAATATGGTTTGTTGTCCCTGATGAATCCAAAATTTTTAGCACTCATTACCAAATGTTTTTTAATGTCTAAATATTGTTGTGTGTTTTTCTCTAAAAGCTAAATTTACTACGCTTAGCCACGGACGCCATTCTCCTTTATTTCCTTTAAATAAAACAAGGCCAACTTAACATGCCATGCCTGAAAGCCTCTTATGTGTTTCTCCCTCTACTATGATTGTTGTAGATTGATTTCCATTTAAAAATGAATTTTAATACATATACATGTCTTTAATGTATATATGATTTTGTGTACGTACATATAGCTCAGATCCCAATAGGCTACTTTATAAAATACCGCATTATAGTTCCATGAATTACAGCGCTAACTTTTGATGGGTACAAATATACCACGGTTATTGATCTACGTAGGTAATAACTTTCAAAATTTATAAAAAAAAATATTATGTGTGGGATATATTTACAATTTATTTCATAAATTATGAGTAAATACACCTCAAGAATAGTTTCTCAAAATTTGATCCAAATATCTTTATTATTGACAATTTTACTACATTTTTAATAAAAAAAGTCATTTTGACCGCTTTCCAATTTCAAGTACAAAAGCAACTGTGCATTATTGATTTTTTTAAATTTAGGATTTTTTTAAAGAAACGTAACATTGACTTCGAATTTTAAAAAAAAAGTGTCATTAAAAATTGCTTTTGTACTTCAAATTGTATATTTGCAGTATGATACAATTGTACCCGGTTATTGATCGTAGGGCTATAGAGTAACATTGACTTCGAAAGGAAGAAAATCAGTATATTTTTGCAATGTCTACAATCAATATCAAATTGTTGTCGGAGTTGAACAAAATAGATTGTATCAAAAAAATATCAGGCGAAACCAAATGACCATTGATAGAGAGGTATGTAAACCAGCAAAAGTCTATAAGCTATGCTTTTCGTGATCCACTTGAAATTATATGATACTATGTCAAAACCAAAAAATTAATTTTGAGAATTTCCTTGCAAATCGGCTATAATTTTTTTTCCGGTTCATCAAATTATTTATAAATTCCCCAAGGAATATTCACATCCAATTGCATTCATTCAA